TGGGAAAGGAAAGGTCATTGAAATGCCTGTGCTGCACAGTGGCGTTGGTACCAGAGGTGCCATGGTGGCAGTGGGCCACCCTGTGAGACATTCACATGTCCCTGTTGGCACTGGGACATTTCTGTGTGTCTGTGGTCACATCTGTCCCCTTCTGACTTTCCATGAGGCCATGGGGAAGTTCCATGTCGTCCCTGGGCCCTGAGGAGCTTCCCAGCTGAGTTTAGCATGCCCACTGCCACCCACCGGCAGGTACTGTGACTTAGTTATGGGTTGGGTGTTGGGTTATCCCAACAAAGATCTTCAGGCTCAAGGCCTTATGTGCTGCCACTGGGCTTTGGCTCTCAAAAGCAAGGGATTTAAATCCCAGAAGAGAAGGTGGCTCCTTCTGCAGGACTACTTTTATGGTTGATGACAGCAGTCAATGGGCCTGTGAGGTGTTGGCTGAGTATGAAGTGCAGAGACCAGCAGTTGCTGTATTTTTCACCATAAGAGGTCAGGGAGGTATTAAAATTGACGAATGTTTTTCCTCTTCAAGGCATTCACTTAACCAAGCACTCACCAGCACAACACGCGCCCTCCCTGTCCCACCCAGCCCCTCCTGGGGACACTTTAGAAGGACTACACAAAGGGAATGTGGACCACAGGCTCATCCCAGCCTGACTTTGAACTCCTCATTCTCCTGTAGTACTACAAGCGATGTCAGGATTCACACAGACACAAGAAATTCATGTGGGGACTTTCCCCATGYGACCACGTCACCGAACTTTTGCTTGTTTGGATTTCATAAAGTCCACAAAAACCATAAAAAACAAAGCCATGTATAAAATACCCAGATAAAGCCTACATTTTTTGCCCCCAAAGGGAAGTGGGAGGCAGGCAGTGGTTCCTCCAAACGTCCTTCCTCCCATGCTTATAGTTGCCTGGATGCTAAGAGCTCTTCAGTGGCTCATGCAACACCTGATCTGACTCCATACGGTTTCTCCTCATCATCTGGATGATTCTCTTCCAGATCATGGCCAGAAGCACTGAACTTGCCTTTGCCAGCAAAGGTCTGCTGTTCTGCTCTTGGGCAAGGCAGACTCAGAGCTGGAAGGATCATTTTTACCCAGCTGTTACCTTGTCCTTAAGACCGGCCACAGTGGCATTCCTGTCAGTCCATTACTGGCACATCTTCCCCTGGCCCAGCTGTCTGCACACAGGGCCTTGCCCTTGCCCTTGTTTGATTGCTTCAAATCCCCCTCCCCTGAGGATGATAAATGCTCCTCTTTAGACTTACATTAATGTTAACATGACATGGTTAAAATTGAGCGCTTAACATCCAAGATGCCTTTCCAGAAGTATGGCCAAGTGGCACACTGAAGTCTGACCAGCCCTGCTCATTACTGTCTTGCCCTGATAACCTGTGAGAAGCTTTAATTCTGACTGCTGTGACTGGGACCTGTGGCCCCATAATTCGTCCGAAATTGGCAGAACCCAGGAGGGCCGGTCTGCTACTATCAGAGTGYGCTACCCAGGCTCCAAAAGACATTTGGGGGTGGATCCCCATCATCCCCATTTTGCCCATCCACTAGAATTACTAGTTGGATTTCATGAAGAACTTGTGCCTGATGTTTATGTGCCTGCCTGTCACCTGGCAGTGCAATTCCAAGGTGGGAGGATGACTGAGCTGAAAGTTAGTGTGGAGTCATACAGGTCCAGCAGAGATGCCCAGGCAGAGGCTGCTCCACACTGCTGTGCCTCATCCACATTTTGTGGGTTTCTCCTTTGATTGTGAGTTCCCCATTCCAGACAAGCTGGGTTGCTGTTGGCCCATACACTTTGCTCTGTTTAATTCTTTTCCTCTTGCCAGCACACACATACAGCTTGGGCAAAACATTTGAACATTTTGTCTCCAAGTGTTTACTTCCTAATAAGCAGCCAGCCTGCCACCCAGTCAGATTCCCAAAATAATCCGGTTTGGATTTAAGTAAACTGCCTTCAGGTGTTACCCAGCTGCTTCACTGTGAAGAAGCCTTGAACTCTACACCAGGCCCTGGAGAGAGACAGTGAAAAAATGATTTTTTTTGTCAGCCCCATGCTCAGCTCCTACTCTAGGTCTGGGACAGGGCTGCCCAACTGTCCTCTTCCAACTGCCTGCTGCTGCCTTTTTTCCACTTGCACTCTGACATCATCTCTAGCTATAGTGTCTGTAAGATATTGTGCCATCTTCCCCCACCACAGAMAATGGAAGAGGAAAATGAAGCAATTCCCAGTGATTCCCTCCAGAAGTCACCCTAAGCAGAGAAAAGGGGCACAGGCACCGGGGCCACAGTGGAAACCTAGCAAGCCCTGTCCCCATCCAAACCAAGAGGCCTGAGAAGAATGGGGGTTTTCATTCCTTGAGTAAAGGTCAGACAACCAGACTTACGCAGTTGACCTGGATAGTTTGGCCGCAGGTCTGTGCTGGCTGTGACA